GTAAATCTATGAAATGCTGTAGAATACGGTATGGAGCAGCTGATGTTACATAAACCCATAAATATTTTACCTGAGCTTCCCCGTGTCCCTTTTTCCTTTTCCTCCTTTTTTATCCAGTGACACATAGTGGATTTTCTCATCAGTTCCCTCCAGCGCTGTATCCAGTGCTGAGTTAGTGACTTAAATGTCTTCTCTGCTCTACAGATCCCGTCTCCAAGTTCCTGCCAACCTAATGGAGCCAACGAAGAAGCCCTGCGGTCTGAAATTGAAGAGCTGAAACAGAGAGACCTTGCTCTAGACCAGGAAATTGCACAGTTATTGTCTGAGTATGTCCTTGTCAAGCTACGTGTGATGCCTCAATTATTTTTGGTTTTAATACAAAATATAGCCCAGGAATTAGAGCTAAAAGCTGACCTCTTACGATGCCATTGTTATCACGGTGCTGTACAGTGTTGTTTTACAGTGATTACAGTGTTATTTCGAGTTATGGGACCTGTTAAAGATAAGAGGGAATTATTTCCAGTTTATTTGGTAAAGCAAAACAAGTTTTACTAGAAGCTTGGGTAAGAAGATTTTAACTTTACCCCAGATGTTGCTGAGGTAATTACATGTAAACTGGAAACAAATAAATTTCACTGTCATTATATTACAACACTTGATGCTACCAGAAGAGCTTGTTCATGTGAGAATTAAAATTGAGATCATGACTTGTATGAGCTGCCAAATTTAGTCCCAGGTAAAACTGTTTCTTTTTTTTGTTCCATCTTGATCAAGTGTAAACTTGTTTTGTGCTTGAGGTGAGTGGGTTAAACCTTTGTGTTCAAGAAGCAGAGGTGTTTTCCAGGCAAGAACGCTCTGGCGTGACGAGTACCACATGCAGAATAGTGCAGCTGTTTTATTGTGGTTGCTTATGACACACTGTTGCTTATTAGCAGCTGTTTTGGGATAAAGTTGCTGCTTGATTTTTAAAGAGAGTGAATCTCTGTGGGTTATTCATTGTGGAGTGATATTTTCTATGATAATGTCTAGTGCCTAGAATGGAAATGGTAGAACAACAGAAGCTGTTCCAAAAGCTTTTTTGTTTTATCCTCAAGGATAAACAGACCTTCTTAATTTTTTTTTTCCCTAGCTGCAGATTAGAGATACATATGCATTGAATTCACCACAGCCTATTCCTGTTTCTACTTGATTCTGAGAATTACAGTGGATTTATTTTTTTTCTTAATAAGTCTTGATGTGGCAGAAAACCTCAAAATGAGGATCTGCTCATTTGTAGCTTTTTATGACTTGCACCAACAATACTTGCTGCCTTCAGACTCTGTTTTAGATCTTCCAGGCTTGGGTATCTCAAATATCCTTGCTGTGTTTGGTCAGTAGTGGCAGCACTCGCTGTGCAGCAGTCGCAGCAGCAAACCCGCTGTGTCATTTTTGACCTTTCTCATTTTATTGTTCCAGAGGCTACAGCCTGGAGGAATTGGAGAAGCACATCTCTCTGCTCCATGAGTATAATGATATCAAAGATGCTGGACAGATGCTGCTTGGCAAGCTGGGTAAGGAAAGGGAAAGCTGTTGAAGAACTTCTTGGTCAATGTTTTCATGTAGACAGAGAGAGAGAAGCTACTACGTCACGAAGGCAGAGCTTGTTTTATAGGTTCTTCAATTCTAGGTTTATGTTACCCCATCACTTGTGCAAGCACAAATGCTTCTGTCATCTGTTGTTATTTTCTTGGGACGTTTTTAGAACTAAACAGGTGGAATAATTGTAATTTGACAGTATTTTATGTTATGTGTTATGGATTACCAAAATTTGATAACTCTTATTGATTTTTGTCTGTTTTGTTCTTGATATGCTTACAAAAAGAAAACTGTTGAGACAAGCAAGGGGCATAGCTGAAAAACCTTAAACTGGTTTCTTAGCTATGGGAGGTTCTGTGGGGTAGTTAGGGGCTGCTGGGAGGAAAACATAACTTTTCTGACTATTCTGATCTTTGTTTAATGAAAGCAATGGTATTTCTTTCTTTTCTAGCTGTTATCCGAGGGGTTACTACAAAGCAGCTCTACCCTGAATACGATCTGGAGCTTAGTGACTAGTATTGGACATGAAGACAGCCACGTCCTGCAAAAATGACTGTTACTGGGCCATTGTGTTTCGGTGTCGTACCGGTTTAGAGCTGACACAAGGTGGCCTCAGAAGTATGTATGTGGAATTGCAACAGAATATGGGTTAACAGCCTTATTTCTAAGCTTTGGAAGTTGTTGAATCTATCAAGTGTTTCCTGCTTGTGGAAAAGGGATGTAGGACCTTGGGTAATTTCATCTACTACCAGATCAACAGTATTTTAATTTTTTTATTGGAAAAGTTGTAATTCAGGTTGATGTTAAGACTCTTCCCATGAAGCCTTTGCTTCTCTGCAACATCCAGGGGCTATTTGGATACTGAATGGATAGAGGAAGTGAGGGCATATAAATGTGCAATGTCATAGCTGCTTTGAAAGAAGAGAAAAAACCCTCAGAAGTAGGGAGGGAAAAAGGCTGAAGTTGTGGTTTGGGAGTTTGGTTTTGTTTTATGATCAAATCTGGATAAGTCCGGGTGTTCTGCATTTTTGTATTTAACTGCTCTGGTATCTAGAGGTTTTGTATCATTTCTGTAGTAAATGGCAAAATGTGAAGTTGTGTTGAACTGTCCAGTCTGAATAAAGCAGCTGTCACATTTCTCAGTAAGTCACTTTAAGAGCCTATAAAACATTGCATGAAACAAATTCTTAAACTGTATTCTGAGGCAGCTATTAACATCTATTATTCAAATGTTTTCTAAGGACTCTTAATGGAGACAGTGTGGCAAAATTCCCCAGTAATGGGTAGGTGCAGAATTACCTTTACTCTCCTCCAAATGCAGAGTCACTGTGAAAGTGAGCAGCGTCCTAAATACAAAATTATGTTGAGAGCATGAGTGTTTCGGTGTCAGGTGTTAGGATTGAGGGTGACTGCCCAGACTAAATTTGGCTGCTTTGGGCAGTTCTAAGTGATGAAGTTCTCTGCTGATTGCAGATCCATTGTCCTTTTTTCACTCAAGCTTGATGTCCTGCCCATTTCTGCTTCTAAGAGCTTCCAACTAGTAAGTTTCCCCCAGGTCTCCAGTCAAGCCTGTGTTGCAGTCTGCTCATCATTTCCAAATTTGAATCAAATCTGTCTTTGTAGTACTTGGAAACCAGAAAACAGGCACAAGGCTGCTGCTGAGAACAGGTAATTGTTTCTGTGCTCTTGGTTCTGGAGCTGGCATAGAAGCATCACTAATAAGTATCTTGTTTTGCCACAGAAGCTGTGAGGAGAGGGTCTAAAGCAGGGGGACAGACAAAGCCTGTGTATTCTGTGATGCATTCAAGGAAGTCTCTGCTAACGTGCAGCTGTGCTGCTCTGGAGGGTATTTACTGTGGCCATGTAAGAATGGACTCTCATGGGTATGGTTACAGGTATATCCTCCCCACCATAAACCCCCTCTTGCCAAATCTAGAAAGCTTCTGTCTTCTGGAGTAGTTTTAAGGGGAGGAAAAAAGTCACAAGAAAGCTAAAACTGGGAAATGCTAACTTTGTTCTCAAAACCCACGTTGCTGTTTCAGCTGGTATTTTCTGTGTGCAAGAGCTGGTTTAGCCTGGAGTGTTCCAAACAAAATGTTAAGCCTGACAATGGCAGAAGCAACTGGAAATGCTTTTATACTCCAGTACCAAAGTTACTGAAGGCTATTTAAAGACTGAGAAGTCCATGTTTTCTTCCCCTCCTTGTAGGAGCACTAGTATTAAAACTGGCAGCTGTAGCCACGCAAGTATTCTGGCTGGCTCCAAAACTCACAGTTCTGTGATGATGGGTTTACACTTCAGTTAGCACAGGTCCATGGAAGGTGCCCTGACCCCAGCCCCTTCTCCACGGAGGATGAATACACGCAGAACCAACCAGCTGAGGTAAGAGCAAACTGCCCTTGGGGAGTCCCTGCGGCTCTGCAGCTGGCACGGTACATGCCGCATGGTGGCAGCTACACTCCACTGCTGTTCCAGGTGCTCTGTGCAGAGCAGGGAAACCCAGAACAATGGAAACATTCCAGGGTCTAAGCTAATGGCTCCTGGGATGCTTCAGGATAGGACTGGACTCTGCCACTTACGTACTTCATCACAGCCCCTCTTAACTGCTCCTCCCAGAGTTGCTTCTTGTTGTTTCATGTCTGTCTGGGGGATAAAATGCGCTGGCCTTTGTCCAAATCCAGAAGAGGAATAGAACAAATCTCTTCTACTGATTTCTGTAAGTAAATCTCCAAACTCTCTAGCTAAGTGTATGGCTGTAAAAATAGTGTAATAGTGGTTAAGTGCAACTTCAGACTTCAAATTCAGAAAGGTGCATTTTTTGCTAAGTCAGATCCATCTATAATGAGCTAACAGAGAACAAACTGTATTAGAGGGCTTGCAGAGCTCCACTGAAGGGCAGAACATGCTGTCTGCGTGGAGCTGCTGCAGAGCAGATACCACAGACCCCTGAACACCCTTGGTTCCTCAGAAGGAAAAAAAAAAATGAAAAAGAAAAAGCAGCATGCTTTTTTTTAATGAGTCAGTGTACTCCCAGGTGAGTACGGAGCCAAGAACCAGCCTCTTCCCCTTCAGGTCACTTTCAGGTTTATTTCTTATGTGTCAGTCCCTATTACAAGCCACTCTCCTCATCCCACACAATTACTGTGGGTACAACCATTTCCTTGCACTGCTTGTGTAAGCTGTGTATTCTCCTGCACATCCCTCTTTTAATCTGATTTTGAGCTCTTATGTGTCTCGAAGCAGGACTAATGGAAAGAAAATACTCTAGGACAACAGAGGGAAAATAAAATCCATATAGCAGGTAAGTTATGCTGCCAGCCACAAGCAGCAAACCAATCTGTGCAATCAAGGGAATACAGCTCTGTAAGACACTCTCTGTATTTCCTGCTGCTAAACAATTTGGGGATGGGTTTTCATATCCCTTAGCAACCTAATGTTCCCGAAGTCAACAGGAATTTTGGCACAGCTAACTCCTGTTAATGAACTGTTTGCGATGCTTTAAAAAAAATTATACAGCCTGTCACTGAAAAAAAAAATGCCTCTCTGATTAAAGTCCTCTCAAGGAAAGGGTGGAAGTGAACTGCAATTAACCTCTTTCCTTCTGCTGTCCATCATGCTGTCAGCACGTAGCTGCGTTATTGTGCTACACAGATTGCTTGTGGATGTTCCCTCCGTAGCACACGCTCAGCTGTCTGCTGCCTGGGCCATCTCAGCATCCATCTTGTTGAAGATTTTCATCCTGATGGCCTAGTGTTTTCTCCAACTCTGTTTTCACTTTAAGCTGACAGTTCCAAATTGCATTCTGTATACTGCGCAGGTCCCACTGGGTTCTCAGGAGAGCATCATCCAGTGTGAAAACACCATCGCGTATTCTTCGCACTTGTGTGCACACGGCGGATGATTTCAGCTCCAGACCGATCTCATGAACTATTTTTCGGAGGTACTGCTGAGTCTCGTGCAAGCAATGGATTTCTAGAAGGACAGAGAGATTCCTTCAGAAGCAGCAAAGCGTTGATGCAATTTCAGACCTTGTCTGTCAATCCAGACATCACTCAGTTACACTGAAACAACTGGTTTGGTAGAAGAGATTATTTAATATCCACCAGCAGTTAATTACGATTTTCTGCAATACTGCAGGGTGTGCTGGCTCTTCCCAAAGTGAATGTTTTACAAAACAAACCTATAGATACAGGAGAGTCATGTAGGAATTTAGGTATTTCAAAGGGGATAAGAAAAGGTGTATTTTTAATAAGACAAATAATATGTGAGGAGTAGGAGACTGGCTGCAGAAAAGCAAACCACGCTTTAAAAAAAAAAAGCCAACACTGAAATGCTTTACACTGAAACACTGAGGTAAGGAAGAATTTTGCCCCATAGGTATTCATTATGCAAATTTTCTTGCCTCAGTGTTAGATCCGGAACTGGTAGGGAAAAATGTATGAGTTCGGTGCACAGCTGGCTTGATTTACTGTAGCAGCTTCAGTACGTGAGGGTTCCAGATCTTCCCCTACCAAAAAGTCTTTCCACCACACTAAAGAGCTCATCTAATGAGGAGATGCTCTTGTGACTTTGGAAACTACAAATCATTACATTTTCTGCAGGAACTACCAGTTAGGAGTTGATACAAAGTCCTACCAACTTATTTTATATTAAATCATGAATAAGAAACTGAAGTTTACTGACTTATTTGCCATAATATACACTTAAATTTCCCCAGTACATTTTGCACCAGTCCTACCTAGCTGGAATTCTGGAAGCATGAACTGGAGGCATCGGATGGCTGTGATTATTGGAGGGCTTTTTCCCATGGGGCGTATCAACCCTTTGACAGCCAGCTCATAGGCCTCTTGTGTTTTCATGTCAATGTTAGAATGCCTGGAAAAAATTAAAAAAAGGAGCAGAGCAGACACTTTGTACTTCTCTTCCATGAGATTCAAAATATCTCCACCCAAATGAAGCAGAGTTGCAATTTTTATTCTTCAAACTGCCTGTATTGAGTCTTGTATACATTTTACTGCTATAATGTGTGTGCTGTCAGTGTAGCACAGTTTGGGAGGGAGGTACTTGTGTCACATCTACAACATATTTTTGCAGGTCCTAATGTAGTTAATAGGTCCTAAAATAGCTGGAGTTTTCAGGATACAAAAAGGACATTTAACTGCAA